AAAAAAAAAAAAAAAAGAAATTTTGAAAGATAAAGATGCCTTAATGAGTATGCAAAATTTCCTATTTCCTTTTTTGCTTCTATTTTTTTCTCTGATTCACTAATCAAAGGTTTATTTGCAGAAGAAGAAGCAAGAGAATACTGTAGATGGCTTCGTGACGCAGGATTTCCGCAATACGCCCGTCTTTACGAAGGTCTGTTTGATAATCTATACTTGTTACTGCATTCTTCTTCCTTGTAAATTTTTTTTCCCTCTGACTAACCAAACGATATTTATTCTGAATTATGATGGTATTATTTAATAACACTTAAAAATTTATTTTTTCTTCAATTAAAATTTGAAACTGTGACATTGCTTATAATAGCAGCACTAAGTAGGTAATTGCTGGTAAAGTAATAAGGTCAATCGGGCTAAGAATACATAAATTTGAGTGAGAATTTTACCAGCGCAAAAGAAAAAAAAAATTTTGGGTAACTTCAAATTTGAGATTTATATTTGCAGAGGAAAAGAAGATTTTTTCTTTTGTAGAATAGTAACATAGAATTTGCTTTAAAAGATGAATCACTTGGTGAACAGAAAACTTTTTTTTTTGAAAATTTTTGGATCTATGAAACTTTAACAATAAGCAGATTTTTCTTCTTTCTATCAAATGTTTTAGATGAGAGGGGTGAAAAAAAAAAGGAGAGGAAAGGAAGCAATCATTTATAATGGATAAATGATTATCTGTTTTGTGTAATTCTAAAGAAGGCGAAAAAGAAAAAGTTAGTAGAATTATGTCGTCAACAGTACTCATAGTGATCGATGACTGATAATTCATATTATCATTACTGTTTTTTATTTTTTTTTCTTCAGAAAATAAATTTCCAATTGATTTACGGTCTGTTCAACGTGATCACGTATTCTTGGACGCCGATTCACTGCTGGCACTTTTTCGTCGTTTAAACGGGCTAAACAGATGTGCGATAATGAAAGTGGAAAATGTTGTACTTAGGAAAAGAGTATGCCTTTTTTTGTTGTTGTTGTTTTTATTCAAAAAAGCTTTGAAGTTGAAGATAATGGTAGAAGAAAGAAAAACAAAATTGAATAACACTTTTTCTATGTAAGTTTTTTGAAGAACTTAGAAATTTGTTGACCTGTAAGTAAAATTAAATAAGACGATTAGCTAAGTTTATTAGAGTCTTTTTTTTTTCTATTTCTGTTTAGTCATTGTGCTTTTTTGTGAAGTAATTCTTTTTTTACTTTTGCAGTTTGATGACTAAAGATTGACCAAAAATGTTGTAAAGTTTTTTAAGAGAAGTTTATCGCTGGTTTTAATGGAAGAATTGATGCAAAGATTGGAATCTTTAAAAGAAGTAAAAATAGTGTGTTTAGTTAAGGTGTCAATATCTGTTGATTTAATGGCTCATCGTAAGGCAACTTTGTTTTTCTGTTTTTCAATCACCAGTCTTAAGAGTGTTGTTGAGTAAGAAAAAAATATAATAGACTGATGAAGAAACAATGATTATTTTTTTTCTTTCTATTTTGTTTCATTTTGGTTTTTTTTATTCTTCTCTTACGATACTATTTAAATGATGTGAAAGACGTGAAGTTTTTTGCTAGCTTTCTGCTGGCTTGAAAGCATTGCAACATTTATGTTTGCAAAGTATCGAAAGTGAGAATTTTTTGATCTACTTTGGTGTTGTTTTTTTTGGTTTTTATTTGGAAGCTTCCTGAATAGACATTTACTACTCTCCTAATGGAAGCCGTTTAGGTGTTTTATTTTAATCTTCATATTTTTTTCCTTGCTTTGTTAAATTTTTTGTCGCTAAAAACTTGACATCTTTTAGAATGAACAGATTGGATCACGATTATTAGAATATGGCGACACCGATATGGTAAAAAGTAATTACGAGGATGATGAAGATCAAGTAAACTTCTGTTTCTGAACTTATTCTAGAAGAGCTGCTTTTTTATTTTTTTTTTGCTTTTTAAAAAACAAATTCTCTTTTTTTTTCTGGCAATTACGTTAAATGTTTTCTAGTGTGCTTTATCGCAAGTGTGGAAATATCAACGTAAATCTCATACTTGGTCAAGGATTGTTGGTGAGGAGCCTTCCGGGACTCGTAATGCAAAATTCAGTACATCCAAGAAAGGTATGATTTATGAATGAGTTGTCAATGTTCTATAAAGCAAAATTTTTTACTGGTTTGATATTGGAGTTAATTTTAGCTGTTCTTTCATCTCGGCTACTAGTCGAATACAGTTGATGCATAATTATTTTACCATCAACTAAAAATGGCCATGCGATTGTATTTTGTGGGATTTTCAGTTAATTGCTATAAATCGCTAAAGATTAGTTGTATTTGCAGATGAAGATGCAGCCAATTATGAGTGCAGAACACGAAAAAATGGTGAAGGAAGAACATCAAGAGGACTGACCAGGAACAAAGTTTCACGAGGAGGCTGTCAAGAAGGAACTTACCAAGCTGAAAATCAAGTTCATGATACAGCTGCTGGCTTAACAACTAAAGCCGAAACAAAAAAGTTTGTTAATGAGACATTCTTTTTATTGCTTTTGTTAAATGAAATTGGTCACAGTTTGATGAGTGGCTTGTAGAGAACCAATTATTCTATTTTGTACGAGCAACGCAGAACAAAATTAGATTTCCAGTTTCTAAAATTATTGAAATAAAACACTAAAAAAAACTTGCCAATCAATGCAACCTTGAAATATTATTTGTTTAGGGGTGCAGAAAATCGTAGCCTGCAAAGATCTCAAAGCGAACGGATCAAGGAAAGGGCTAGAGCATTAATGAAGCGGATGGATATACGATCGTCTAGCCGGTAACCGTTGTTCATTAGGATTTTGAAGTGTGACTTTTCCTTAGCACTTGACTAATGCTAACTGTTAATTTTTAAGCCGTCGTAAACAACAGCAAAACAATGAACATAACTTTGATCCCCATGAAATGGTTATCGGAGAGCCGGTGCTGGTGTCTCATTATTCAGCTAGTCCACATTCGATGAGAATATATCCAGATACTCTTCTTAATTCAAAGGCTTTTCGGGCCGGCACTGGAGGGAATGCTTCTAGTCAACTGTCATCAGATGATCGCCTTACTGATGACGGTAATTTGATCTTCTTAACATTCAAATTATGGTGGTAAAAGAGAAGTGCCAGATACTCAACTGTGATTTCAGAAAAGCAATTACTAAATTCTTTAAGACAGATTTAAATATCTCTGTTTTCCTCATTCATTTAGTCCCTTTCTGTTTTTAACACATTATATTCGTTATATACTTCTTTCTTTGTTTGGCATTTGCAGTTCCTCAGTGCTTTTTTACTTTCTCATTAATTCTTTTTACTTTTTTACAATATTTTAAACAGTATTTAAAACTAACTAACTGTTTGTTTTTATCTTAATTGACCAACCTTTGCATGTTTAGCCTTGTATGCTGTTCAACAACCTGATCTACAGCAACACAAGTATGTTACTTCGAGTTTACACCGAAACAAGCCTGATCCTCTTCCTACCGCTAGTGCTGGAGCAGCTACCAGTACTTCTACTACTAATGCTGTTGGTGCTGCAACTGCTGCTACAACTGTCCATCCAAACAATCTTTTTTTTCGTGTTGGTCGACAACGAAGCAGTAGTCGACGACGGATGGGAATGGTTATATTGACACCAGATTCTCCTGCAGAAGGAAATTTTTTTGACCGTCAATTAGTGTGTGCAAATTCTCTTGTTCATCAGAGTTTGAGCATTTTTCCATCGACAGCAGCATACGACCCTCCGACTGATGACAGTCGTGATACACGAATTTATGATCGGGTTGCTGACGAATCGTTTACTGATGAACAAAAAATGCATGAGATTAAGGACCGGTCTGATTCCAGTGACTATGAACATCATGATGAACAAAAAAATTTTTTATCTTCTAAAATCAATATCGGTGACATAATATCGTGTGGTGACAGTCATTCACGAACGGAATCTATTAATGGCTGTATGGGTGCAGCAAAAGCAAATAGGTGCGTTTTCGGTCGAGAATTTGGCGCAGAAATTAGTTGCTTAAAATCCCATGTTGTAATAAAATAAGAAACGTCTTAGGAATTGAATATCTCATAATTTTTATTGCACATCGTCTTACATGATTAATTTTGGCTTTTTTTAATTTTTTGTACAGAGGAAAGTAAGGAAGTCGTTATTTGCCATCTTCTCAATGTGGATCGTACTGTAAAAAGGAAAAAATTCTATCTATTTTTCTTTTAATCACTGTTGAACATTTATTTAGTTTCTGAAATTTGACAAAAACTTATAGATTATAGTTTCTAATTAGTTTCTAATCAGTAGTTTGTGGAGATTTACTAATTTCCCGAGATTTAGACAAACGTTTGCTGCTTTTAAGCTTTTCTTTTAATCATAATTTCATCTGTTTTTTTACCAACTAACAGTTTGATCACTGATAATCAGTTTAGAGAACTGATTTATGATAACCTTTGCTCTATTCCAAAAACTGACAAACTTACCGCAAAAGGACTACGCATTGGAGGAAGTCAGCAGTGGTCTTTAGCGTCCCCTCAACAAGCATGTAACTTGAGTGGAAATTGTCATTCGTTTATACCTTTTGAAGGACATCATGGACAAATTCCTGGTTTGATCTCATCT